GGTGTTGGATTCTGAACAAACCTGTACTGTGGAGGTTCTTGCGAAGAGACCGTCATAATTTGGTGACTGCTGATGTGTGGCAGGAGTGTATTGTTGAGGTTGGGTGGAGGTTGGGCACTGCTTTTAGATCTCCAACTAAAGTTGGGATGGTGTCACCACCCCGGATTGTAAGTATTAGAGTATGGAGAAAACGACTGTCTTGGCTGATTAAATGCATTAACCTACTCTTGTATTTCCCTACACATAAGAAGACTTAGGCACTTACTCATAGAGTGCTCAACAAACTCGCATATCGAACAAGTGTCATCAACCTTGGGCACAGAGGTGATGTCCTTGTGTAACTCTAAACTCTCCACCTTCCTTGAAAGTTTAGCAATCTTGGCTAAAAACTCGTCTGCCTCTTTCAATGAATATTTTCCTCCATTGGATGATTGAGGAGCTACTGAAGATTTAATCGATTAGTAAGGTCGGAGATGTCCCAAGATTGGGCACTCTTTGCCAAACAATCAAAATAATCAAGAGTCTCCTTAGGCTCTTTATATAAGAACTCTCTATTGCACATTATGTCGATGAACTGATGATGTGCAAGGGTAATTCTCTTGTAGAAGAAACTTACCATCGGCTATGGTTCAAAGCCATGATGCCGAATGAAGTTTAAGAGCTCTTTAAAATTTTACTCATTTGGTTTCTTGGCAAAATTTTGAATTTGTTTTTTCAAAGTAGTACCTTTATGAATGGGAAAGAACTTAGTCAAAAATTCTTTTTGCATTTGATCCCAAGTAGAGATCTTCTATGGCTCAATGAATTTAGCCAAGTTTTTGCTTTATCTTTAAGTGAAACAATGAAAAGTTTCATTCTAGCCATTTCTTCTCGTATATTTGGTTCCAAGAATGTACTAACTACTTCGTCAAATTCCTTGAGATAGAGATAACAATATTCACTTGCCATTTCATGGAATTGAGGGAACAATTCGAGCATCCCTAGTTTAACAATGAATTGGTGCACTTGCACTGCAAGTACAATGCAAGATGGAGAGGAGGAGTGGGTAGGTTGAAGATAATCCTTCATAGTCCGACCAGGCAGAACTATAACCAAATTATTCCCGCCATTACCCCCCGATGGTACGATAATTGGTGAATCAATGTCATTGTTATTATTCTAGACAACCATACCTACAATTGGTGGTAAGTCCTATCTAAGTCTAACAAGTCGATTTTCTTGGTCTCAATCCCACATGCAAATCTGCTAAACCTAAAAATTAAAATTGCAAGAAAGCAAGAAATAAGTTACAAGAGAGATACGCACTTGGGCTCATGATGAAAATCACAAGACCTACCTGAATACCTCTGTATTGCCACAGATTGCCGTTAGCTTCCCCGGCAACTACGCCAAAAATGCTTGTCCTCCAAAGGGGTTGCATTTTCATGAAAGCTTCAAAGCGTACAAGAAAGATATTGTGTAGTAACTTGAACAAAAGTCCAAGGTAGTTTTCTCAGGGTAATAATTGGAATCCAAGGTGATGAAAAATAAAATGAAAAACCTCTTTGAGTTCGAGAATTTTGAGAGTTAACTACTAATGAAATTGAAAGTCAATTTATGTAAAAGATGAATAATCTTCAGAATTCATCCCACCTAAAAATAAGAGTTTANGTCAATTTATGTAAAAGATGAATAATCTTCAGAATTCTTCCCACCTAAAAATAAGAGTTTCTATCGTAAATCTATAACTCATTTGCTTTCGTATTCAAACTACTACAGATGGATAACTTTTAACTAAAAACTTGGAAAGAACTAATGTAGCAATTGAAAGATATCTTATGAGGAAAGAATCAGTATTCTAAAGGTTGCATGAAACACCACAATTATTTGTACCAAGACTAATTGCATACAAATAACAAGGACACATGCAAACCAATTAGGTTTTCAAAAGCATAACCTTTTCAATCAACCCTAGTTTAAAGCGTACTCCCTATCTCATTGGATTGGAACTCCTTCCTTAGATCATCCAAAAGAAAACTACTCACTCATGATAGTAAAAATAACATAAAGACTAAAAAAAGACATAATTAAATGTAGAAAAGTAAATAATGAATTGAAATCGTATTGAACAACTGAATGTAAATAACAAGACTTCGAAAGTAAGGACAATTGAAATTAAATATTGCTTGAACAATAAAAGAAAAGAACTAAACTTAAATTAGAATCCTATAGAATAAACACTAAAACTCTCTAACAAGAAAAGAAAAAGAAAAACTCCTAAACGTATTCTCTAGCATCCCCTTTGATTCCTCAAATGGTCTCTATTTATAATGGTTGCCAGGAAAATCTTCAGATTGTTGATCTCTATTCATCCCAAAATTATCTCCTTCCTTCATTGGTTGGGAATCCCGAAAAGACATGGTGAGATCTGATTTTTAATTAAACTTCCCGTGAAAATCTGCCTCAACCAACTGGTAGAACACCCTTTACCGGTAGAACATCCGGTAGGACTTCTCTAATAAAAGTACTGTAAGTTTTGCTACCAGTAGAAAATGTTTAACTATCGATAGAATTTCTTTGATGAAAAAATGCAAAGTACTATGAGTTTTGTTGTTGGTAGAATGTGAAGCTAACCTACTGGTAGGACTTTTGCACCAATTTTCTATAGTTCAAACTACCGGTAAAATGACTTACGACCGGTAGAACCTTTATTCTTCTGTCTTCCTACCGGTATAAAACATACTAGTAAAACTCTTCTTTTCTTCCAATTTGCTTCTAAGACTCCCGATTTCATCTCTACTCGAGTGAACTCAACATCAACTTGTCTCTTGCCATCTTTTCAATGCTTAAACTCAACATTTACATCCAATTCACCTGCAAACACTAAAATCAAGGGTTAATATGAAAACTATACTAAGTACAATGAATTAGTACATTAGCAAGCTTAAAGTGAATATGTTTGGATGAAATAATACAATTTTGAAGTCTCAACAAACACCAAAGAGTGAATTAATAATGTTACAATACAAAGTGGATTAATAATGTGACAACAAAGGGTGAATTCAATATATTACCACAAATGCAATTTAAAAAGTAATAAATTCCCCAAAATTAAACTACTCTTCCACAAGTAGATTCTCATATTTGCAATAGTTAGTTATTAATGTGAAAAGCGACATCTCAAAAATATATTCTTATAATGGCATATAAAACAGAAAAATAGATCATTCAGGCAAGAAGAAAAACGTGAAAGGCAACGAACTGCGTAGATTATCAATGCATGAATTAGTGTATTCGATTCGGATTCACATAAAAACATTGTGACATTTAAGAAGGAAGTGAAATTGATTCGGATTTTTTATTCTAGCGCTAAAACCCTAAGTTTTATTGCATCACCAGTTCATAAAAAAAAAAAGGGTTTCTGTATTATTATTTTGAGTTTTATGAGGAAAGAAAATCAGTATGTCTTTGGTATGAATTCACCTTCCGACCTACTAATATTCTAAATCTGAAAGAAGACCTCCAAAGAGGGGAACACATAAATAGCTACTAGGTTAAGCCTAAGTAGTTAACTTTATTACAATGCTACGGACACGGAAATCTAGTGGTCAGCTTGAATTCATTCATTTGGGGACCAGCCAGAAAGCTTCATGTTGTAACCAAAACTAACTTTGCATGGTATGTGCATGCTCTTGTATCTTTATCCAAGCCTTGCTCACATGGCAATAGTTTGTCAGTGTTACTCCAACATCAAGCCTTATCACGTACATTCCCCCTACCAAAGAATGTGTCATGTACACTCTCCCTGTTGCATTAATGGATTCCAAAAGCTTTCTATTGAATTCAATTGCATTTTCTTCACCTAAAAGCTTCTAATTAGCATTCCCCAACATTAATGGTGAAACCCGAAAACAAAGCATTGCAAAATTTCTAGGAACCATGACCTCAAACCTCTTGTCCATTGCTATGAGCGCTTCAAAATGTTTAGCCATTTATGCATGACCCCTTATGAAGTTTCTGAGGTTTGATACTCTATAGCTTCTGAGCACAAGCCATAGCTTCATTGCTCGGAATCTTTGGCTTAATGCTATTTGCCAGTCTTTGTAGTCCACCACTTGTTTTGAATCAGAAGCCTTGTTCTTCAAAAACTCCAGATCATTTGAGAGAGCTTTGATTCGGGCACTGATAAAGCACAATGTCTTCGTCCTTAGCCTATGAGTGCTTTGTGTATTTGATAAACATGACAGCCTACTGTAGATATGGCTCACACGCGATAAACATGGAACAAACAATTATCAAATACTGAAGTTATCAATTGCTAAAGGATTGTGTTAATCAAGTTGATACTTCTTCAAGAGCTTATTAAGAATAAATAATAAGTAATTAGTTTGGAATTTATGTATTCAGTTGGGTTTAGATAGGATTCCCTTATCATAGTTGTATCTCTTTGCATATTATAAATAATAAAATAATGGAACTTAGCTGACACATTTTTTGTGGACATCTTTTCGTCATCACTTCAATTCTAGTTTTATTGTTTCTTCGTGGTATCAGAGCAGTACTTGGATGTTTGATGACAGAACTAAAGTTCTCATTAAAATCAATACCGACTAACTGATTGTATCCTTTAGTAACTAATCGAACTTCAAAGTATTCAATGGATCTGTTGGATTTTAAATTGGTTTTAAAGACTGAGCGGGATCCAATAACGTGCATGTGAGGTTGACGAGAAATCAAAGTCCAAGTTCTATTATGCTGCAATGCTGCAAGTTCCTCATGANAATTGGTTTTAAAGACTGAGCGGGATCCAATAACGTGCATGTGAGGTTGACGAGAAACCAAAGTCCAAGTTCTATTATGCTGCAATGCTGCAAGTTCGTCATGCATTACTTCCATCCAATAGAGACTTTGGAGTGCTGATTTCAGACTCGAGTTCTACAGGATGAGTGGTAAGAAGAGTGAGAAGTGACTGATGAGCACGAGCTTTCCCACTTGTAACCATTAGACGAATGTTTATCAAAATGGAGGAGCTTGCAGGCTATACAGTAGGTGGTGGATCATTGGGCAAAGTGGACAGTGGATTATCAAAGGGGAGATCAATATGTATAGTCCCCAGTACTTTTGCCAGTGATGAAGTGGAAGACCCAGATGGCATGGAGCCTTATGAGTACTCCATAAAATGGGGACTTGTGGTGGCAGAGGTGGATTTCCCAACTGAAGCATGATTGTGTGTACCAGATGATGAGTTGTTGGTATGATTGTTAACCTTGGAAGGCACCGCTATGGATGGATCTCCATTGGTTGGATCAGGCAGTGCTTGGACAATTGGGCAGAATGCAAAATTTGGTGCAACGAGTGGCGAATCTGAAAGAGGACACAGGTCATGTGACAAGGGAGTTTGCAATGAAGGATCTTGGCCCTTTACATTATTTTTTGGGTATTGAAGTTCTGCCCTTTTCTGGTGGGTGAGTGTAAGCCAAAGCCTATATGGGTGAGTGTAAACCAATTGGTACTCCCTTTGCTCAGAAACGCCATCTTCACTCCTCTATGACCAATTAGTTGATGCTACTTCTTATCGTACTCTCGTGGGTGATCTTCAGTATCTCACCCTCACTTTGCTAGACCTATCTCACGCTGTTAATTTAGTGTGTTGATTTATGGAAACCAACTATTCTACATATGCAATCTGTGAAGCACATCCTAAGGTATTTTCAAGGCCCTATGGGCTATGGTCTTTATCTCTTATCTGCTTCTTCCTTAAGTCTTTATGCGTTCTCCAAGAAACAAGCCATTGTTTCCGCTCTAGTGCCGAAGCAGAATACCGCTCCATGGCATCCACCGCTACTAAGCTCACGTGGTTTACATACCTTTTTCATGAAATGGGTATCCATTAAATTCTCACCCAGGTTTTTTTGTGACAACCAAAGTGCTTTATCTATGACTTCCAATCTAGTCTTTCATGCTCACACCAAACATGTTGAACTCAATTTTCACTTTGTACGTGAAATGGTAATTAGTGGCTCTCTTTCCACCCGCTATGTACCCTCTCATTCTCAACTTGTAGATATTTTCACCAAGGCCTTATCTAAGGATTCTTTTCGTAACATTCGTGCCAAGCTTGGAGTGCTATCTCCTCCACGCTCCACCTTGCGGGGGCATGATAAAACACAATGTCTTCATCCTTCACCTACGAGTACTTTGTGCATTTTATAAACATGCCATATTAATATTAAACATAGCATGGATCAGGGGAGAGCCAAACATCTTCTGCAGTGGGGCAACTTAACNTTTTAATCAACCATTTAATTTAGGATTTAATGGGATGTTGTAAACCTTATTCTTAATAGGGTGATTTAGATTTTATGGTGGGGTTGGCACATGACTGTTGGTCTTTAAAGCCTATAAAAAGGATTCTTACAAATCTATATCTATACTATTTCAAAATACCAACATAGTTGAAATTTTTTTTCCACCGNCTATATTAATATTAAAATTTAAAATATTCACAAAAGTATAGTTTTATTAATAGAACATCAATTAAAGAAGTAATTCATATACATGCGTGATATATAAAATGAACCAATAAAAAAAAATCATTATAGATTTATCTATAAGATCTAACAAAAAAATTTGGACCGCAAAATTGGGTTCAATCATATATTAATTTTTAAGAAAAATTTTCATAACTAATTCAAAAATTAATTTGTTTAATCACAAACTTAATATTTAATTATTAAATTTTAGCAAACAATCGAAACTAATTCAAACTATAATTATTCTAATAAACTAAACCTACGTATATGAAGTACTTAACTTATCNTCTCTCTCCCTTTCTTCCTATTTTCTCTTCCAATAAAAGCTTCATAGCTTTAGAAGTTATTCGGCAATGTCAACTATCAGACATTTAGGGATAATTTTACAAGCGATGGAGTGGCGACGTTGCTGGAGGGAGTTAAACAAAAATTGAAGGGCTTCATGGGGGAATACACTAACAACATTCTCGTGGTAAGGATTTATGGGGTTTTAAAGCATATACATGCAATTCAACTGATGAAAAATTGTGCTTTTATTTAGAAAAAAATGGGATCAATAGCAAGATACGATTAATGAAAAACAGGACTTCATGGGGTGCATGAATTTGTAGGGTTTGATCGTATGCGTATGCAAATGACTAAATAGGAAAACAATTGTGTTATTGATAAGTTGCGGGAGTGAAGAGTTTGGGGTTTATTTTAAGTGATTGAGGGTGTCTAATGTGGCCTTCTACGGAGTATGTGGCTTGATTAAACTAGAATTTGTGTTTGCGTGCTATGGGAATTTTCGTATATGTCAGGTAATGCATACTCCCTTCGTTTCTAAATATTTATCGTTTTACACAGTTTTTTTTGTTCCATAATATCTGTCGTTTTATGAAATCAAAACATAATTAATATTTTTTTTTTAAAATTTATCTNGGAGTGAAGAGTTTGGGGTTTATTTTAAGTGATTGAGGGTGTCTAATGTGGCCTTCTACGGAGTATGTGGCTTGATTAAACTAGAATTTGTGTTTGCGTGCTATGGGAATTTTCGTATATGTCAGGTAATGCGTACTCCCTTCGTTTCTAAATATTTATCGTTTTACACAATTTTTTTTGTTCCATAATATCTGTCGTTTTATGAAATCAAAATATAATTAATATTTTTTTTTTCAAATTTATCCTTAACTTTTCAATGCATTAGATTAGGTGGAGGTTAAGTGTCTTTCATATTCTTTTCCTTCCCAATATATATTGAATAAGGGTATTTTAGTCTTGTGTAATTATTTTTTACTCATATTAAAACTATTTAATCGCTTCCTTAATCCCTATGCAAAAACCTTAAGCGACAGATATTTAGGAACGGAGAGAGTAGTTTTTTAGGAATATTAAAGACTTGAGATTGGGGCTGAATGCATTGCATGTTTGTTTATTGGTGACTAGTTGGCGTTTCAAAATGAAAGAGTTTACTTTGTAGATAGAATACTATCACTTGTTTGTGAAATCAATGAGACTTTTGAATTTTTGTTAGAATTTTATAAGCCTTCAATATGATTCAAACCANATCCCTATGCAAAAACCTTAAGCGACAGATATTTAGGAACGGAGAGAGTAGTTTTTTAGGAATATTAAAGACTTGAGATTGGGGCTGAATGCATTGCATGTTTGTTTATTGGTGACTAGTTGGCGTTTCAAAATGAAAGAGTTTACTTTGTAGATAAAATACTATCACTTGTTTGTGAAATCAATGAGACTTTTGAATTTTTGTTAGAACTTTATAAGCCTTCAATATGATTCAAACCAAAAACTTAACTCAAATAAAATTGAGTCCAAACAAAAAAATCCTATGTAATTCAAACTAACAAAAGATTTCTAACAAAATTGGGCCCACAAATCCAAAAGCATTTGTGGCATAGTAAAAATAAAAAGGCTCACAATTCATTTGGTTAAAAATATAAAATTTTAACAAAAACAAAAAAAAAAAGTTATCTACTCACATGCAAAAATGAAAAAATTAATAATCAATACCATTAATTATTCTTTTTAACTAGTCAATTACATCAATCAAACACTCTCTCCTATGTCTCTCATATTAAAACATCTCTCTCTCTCTCTCTNCAAAAAAAAAAAGTTATCTACTCACATGCAAAAATAAAAAAATTAATAATCAATACCATTAATTACTCTTTTTAACTAGTCAATTACATCAATCAAACACTCTCTCCTATGTCTCTCATATTAAAACATCTCTCTCTCTCTCTCACACACACACAAAATTAATTTTTGTTTTCATCTAAAAATAAAGTAAAGGATTCTCTTTCCCCTTTGGCTTGTGACCGCCTTTCTATTTCACACAACAAAAGTCATCAAATCAACCCCAGTATATTATTTTATACTTGCATCTTCTCTTTTTCAATTTTATTTTGTACAAAATATAGTATCAATCAACTTATTCTATTTGTTTTATTTTTTTATAAATAATATTAAAGGAGAATCACATTATAATATCCTAAGTTTTAGGAACACTAATGATAAAATTAAGTGTTATTGTTTTATAATTGTAATTTTTATTAAGTTTTTTTTTCTTATAGAGAATATTTGATTGATTTATTAAAAAAATTGGATTGTCAAAAAGCTGTGGCTACTAAAAAACAATAATTCAGATATGAGGAACTTAAAAAAAAAAAGAGAAAAATGTATTGAATCAAAAAAAAAAAAATCTCTTAATAAATTTATTATTAGTAATAAAAAATCATAAAAGATTTAAGTGAAAGTTTTGAAATAAACAAGTGATAGATCTTAAATAATTAGAAGATATTAAAATTATACGAGAAAAAAATAACAAATAAAATTTTTATAATAATTGAAAATGTAATATAATAATTATTGATCATGAAAAACATACAAAAAAATTAATTTTGAATTTTAGAAAATAAAATAAATAAAAATTATATTAATAATAAAAAAAATCGCTTAGAATCCTCGCTTTAGCCCCAAAATAGCTCTGGCCACCCCTGACTGTGCTCATCATCGAACATAGGATGTGTTCGAGTTACCTCACTGTGATGCAGTCAAAAGGTTAAATACCGCTACTGGTTTTACTTATTTTATGTTATATGATTAAACAAAACCTGGCTTCGATGTCTCCTTCCATTATCCCTCCTTCCTTTTCGGTTGTCACCGAATCGAACTATATAGCATGAAGTAATGCATCTTACTGTTTGGGTCAGTGAACGAGTCCTCTTGTTGTAGTTTCAATGTATCATCTTTTATTTTTCCGTAGATACAAGTCTATATTGCAGTTTTGTGGGTTTTTAATAATCTTTCAATTTAATGGTTGTTTTCAAAATTTGTATAAATGGACCATAAGTATGCAAAACTTATCCGGACAATGAAAGTGAAACCATCCATGTCTTTGTTCTAAAACTCTTCCACTTTTCCAGTTAAAGTTACAATTGGAATAATTTTTTATTTTTGGGTTCTTGTAAACATATTGGTTGAAGTACATAAAGAGTTATAATTGACATTGTTTTGGGGGGTTTCGGTGCTGTGGAGTGTCGACAGGTCTTTCAAAGCCATTTGTTTCATTCATTTTACCCTGTGAGCTTGTGTGATTACACTATGTTCAGTAGCTCTACTTTTTGTTCACAACCAAAATACATTTAGCCTTTAACAGAAGCCATTTTCACATGAATTAATTACTTAAATATTGCCATATCCAAATAATCTGTATGCAACAAAAGGCAGCTCCCAAAACGAGAACCATAAAACCAATCACACCATCACAAGCCTTGCCCTATTTAAGGTTTACCCTTCAAATAAACTCAAAATTGTTCTTAATGTAGTCCACAAAACTGAATAAATTAAATATCATTCTTTTAAAAATTATATTTAAAGTTTTGATTTGATTTTTTCAAAANTATTTAAGGTTTACCCTTCAAATAAACTCA